GGACAATTACCTGCCTGTGAAGCCCAAAGAAGAGCTGTCAATCCATCCACGTCTTTGGCATTGACGTCGGCGCCGTGTTCAATGAGAACTTTGGTAACTTCCACGTTACCTGGATTGCAAAAGGAACTAAATCAAAAAATTGTTTGTGTTTGGAAGTAAGAGTTTAGACTATTACCTTTAATAGCAGCCCAATGAAGTGCTGTCCGTCCAAAGAGGTCTGTGGCATTGACGTCGGCGCCGTGTTCGATGAGAACTTTGGCAACTTCGACGTGGCCTGGATTGCAAAAGGAACTAAATCAAAAAATTGTTTGTGTTTGGAAGTAAGAGTTTAGACTATTACCTGCCCTAGCAGCCATACGAAGTGCTGTCCATCCATCGTTGCTTTCGGCGTTGACATCGGCGCCGTGTTCGATGAGAACTTTGGCAACTTCCACGTTACCTGGATTGCAAAAGGAAAAAAATCAAAAAATTGTTTGTATTTGGAAATATGAGTTTAGACTATCTTATTCTTTACGGATTTTGTCCATCTGTAAAACGATTGATTTTGATTTGAAATAAAAGTGCAATTACCACTCTGGACAGCGTCGTGAAGCGGTGTGGAATTATCGCTTTTCAAAATCTTCGGACTAACACCCTCATCAATGAGTAATTTTACTATATCAACATTGTCTAACCAATGGTAAGGAAAAAAACACTTTAAGTTGAATGACACACAAACATATTTCATAGGAATGTGTTACCCTTCCTAGCAGCCAAATGTATTGGAGTGTCTCCGTTATCAAGTTGAATACTCATATTTATTCCTTCGCTGATCAATGATCTCATTTTGGACACATCACCTAAATTATGAACATATCGGAGCAAAATGAAATGAGTAGTTTGGAGCGAAAATGTAATACAGAAAAGTTGCGCAGAAAAATGCCAAATGAAAAGAATTATATAGTTCACTATAGTTTGCTATACAGTATACTATATAGCTGTTCCTTTTCCGCTCATTCTTCATCGACATTTTCCCGCGTAACTTTTTTGCATACATTGTAATATTCGGTGAGTGCCACTAAAAAAAATATCCACATCCATCTAGTGCGTGAGACGCATTGTCACTCATTTAGTGAGTGAGACGCACGCGGATGAGATGAAGCAAAGCGAAAGAGAAGCGGGCAACTCCATATGAACGAACGATATAGCGCGCATACATTTCATCACTCCTTCGTTAGAATACGGCCACAAACACAAACACGTCGTACCCATTGACTCTATGTTCTAGTTGCGCGCTTCCCTTTCGCTTTGCTTCATCCCATCCGCATGCGTCTCACTCACTAAATGAGTGACCATGCGTCTCACGCACTAGATGAGTGTGGATATTTTTTAGTGGCACTCAACGAATATTACAATGTATGCTTTTTTGTATTACATTTTCGCTCCAAATTACGCAAATGTCGTTATTTCGGAGTCTATCTTCAATTCGATTGACAAAAAAAATCGAAAATTTCAAATCGTGTTTTTTCATATTGTTATCAAACATCATGTTGAACCGTTTGCCTTTAAAGTTCAAAATCATTTATAGACAAATAAAAATACTCGTTTTGCCATTTTTCAATTCATTTTCTCCGTCGAACTGGAACTACACTTATTGCATAATAAACAAACCCCGTTCGATAGCGTGGCGAAGCTCTTTTATTTTATATTCTGGTGGTTGGATTCTAGAAAAAAAAACGCAGAAAAATAATCAAACTGCTCTTCATGTTAATTCTAAGAGTTTAACTTACATCTCGTCTTTCTTAACGTTTGTTGATTCTGGACAGTCACGAAGTAAGAACAAAAATTCACAAATCAAATCAAAATTGTGGAAGAATGAGATGAATAACACAATTTGAAAGTGTTGAATTACCCAGTGTTTGGTGCATATTCACATCTACTGACACTAATAACGCAGGGTAAATAGTTATAAGGATCACAAATAATTTGCTCATCTTCGTTTCTTTACACAGAATTTTTTTCTTAAAATGTTGGGTGAAAAAATGTCAGTTTGAATCAGAAATCTATCGATTGAAAAATAAAACGGAACCAAATTCAAGAGTAAAGTTACTCTTTATAATAGAAAAAATAGCGATAATTAATCAACAATAATCCAACGATTTGAAAGAAATTAAAATGTTCACTGAAACACACTCGTTTTGAAACTGAACTAAAGCAGCTCAACCGATTCTGCCGCACCATAAACTATGGTGCCAGAGCTCTCTTTGCACATCGGTCCTATTTCGGTTGTATTCGGTAACAAAACATACGACACGAACGCATCTCGTACACACAGACAGAGACGCACAAATACGTTCGTCCCTAACATAGTTCGTTCTTCGTATGGAGTTCGCGTGCACGCAAAGCGTTCGGCGCGTACACACAATGACGCGTGTGTGTATGCGCCGACGCGTGTGTGTGTGCGCCGACGCGCGATTCTCATGAATTTCATACGAACAACGAACGAAATTACTGAATACAACCGAAATAGGACCGATGTGCAAACAGAGCTCTGGCACCATAGTTTATGGTGCGGCAGAATCGGTTGAGAGCGAACGAATTGCGTTTACTTTAATTTAAAAAATACGGTTCTGTCCGTGTTATCGCATCAGTGGAGATTACATTTTTATTTTCATTTAACACCGCCAAGGTCTGGCTGAATATAATGAGGTTTAAATAAGTGTTTGGCCGGAAAAGTGTGCAAGACTGTTAAATCAATTTATATATATATGTGTGTTGATAGCAGCTTCGTTATTCGTTGCTTTTGTTCTTTTTTTTCTCCTTTTGCCTTTTTGATTCTTTAATTTCATCAGAAATGGTCAGCATGTTGGTTGCACATTAGTCTGATATTCAAATTAATGAAAATGATGATACATAATAATATACTACTATTCTATATTCGCTTATTTCAATTGAATTATTAAGAATTTCTTAGGAAAAGATTTATCAAATGAAATGTTTTGATGGGGCTTAAGAGTATTCGAAAATGTTTGCTCGATTGTAAAAAAATGTGTTTATTCGTATTTAAACACAAGCATTCGCAATGCTTCCATACAAAATATATGTGAACATTTGCAGTGGCATTCGTGAACATTCGAATACAAACATCATGCAAATGCGATACGAATGCACTGCGAATGCGGCGCGAATGTATACACACATTTCATATGGAAGCATTGCGAATACATGAATCGTGGGCTCGATCATATCATTCATGAAGCTAACGCTGATTAGCTACGATAAACTCAAGTTAAGAAAAAGTATCGAGGATCATATTAACGAAAATAAAGAATTTTTGAAAGAAACAGTCTACGAACATTTGTTGGAAAACGCTTTACCATTTAAATTGAAACCGGAGCAAAATATATCCGCAAAAATATTGTTCGATGCCAAAAAAACCCAATTAATTAAAATTCTTCACAAATAAACAGAACAAAAATCATTACCATGTTTGAGCTGACAGAGAGAAAAAACGAATTGACATTTAAAAACCAGCAAACACACGCAGGCATTTGAAATTTGATAGTAGCATTCGCAAACATTCGTACTATGGTATGGCGGAGCGAATGCATTCGCAGGTATTCAAAATTTTATACTGAAATTCGCATGTATTTGTAGCCACTCGTAGTTTAATACGTAAATGCGAATGCATTCGCAATATTCGCGAGAGTCATAAGCCCCTAGTGTTGCAAGTATTACTCAAAAATGTTGAATGGTCATTCGCGATCAAACCGAAGTAATTTCGTTATATTGGAAATGCCTACCAAAAATATTCTACACATTCAATTGCAAAACATACATTTCATCATAGTGGTTATTGAAAATTCTAATGTATATACCATTTAAAATTCGTTGGTGCCTATGATAACATTATACTCTGAACATTCACATGCGTTTCGAGCAAACTTTAGATTTTACGAAAATTATCTTTCAAACATCGATTTATGACACCAGTGATCCCACAAACAAATTCCATATACCATTTTGCCTTCAAAATAACATAATTTTGATGATGCGTTCAACAAAATATTCTCTCATGCTACTAAGACTATCGGGAGGCACCTCTCGGTCATGCCATAACGAATGAAGAGCAACAACTTGTTGTTATTAACAAGCGAATTGTGGTCTGAGCACTAGAGGTACAGTAGCTCGCAATCAAATCTGTCTGAAAATTAGAGATAAGTAAAGTAAAGGCAAGATTGTGTCTGGTATTGAAAATTTTATTTTTATTCAGAAAATTTGGTGACAAAATTCTAATCGGTATATTTTAAAACATCATTTTTGTCTGTGACATTAGCTTTCGATGTATGTCCCTGCATTGGTGAAATTACAATATTTTGTTCATTTAATTTCATTGATTTATTCCTTTTTCTTCTGAATTTGTCGAATAATAAATATGACAAATGTCGTCCTGTTCCCTCGTCAAGAGTTTTACAAAATAATAAGTAATTGTGTCTATAAATTTGTTGCTTTTTTTTCTTTTCAATCAATAGGGGAGAGGTTTGTAAGTTGACCATGCATGTAAGTTGACCATCCCGTGGTATTTAATATTTCTGACTGTAAAAACGGCAGAATTTGTACTGTCAACGTCATGAAAACGATCGACTTCACTTTTAATGTGATTTTAGGGTGAAAAAACGCATCGTACATTAGTCATACAAGCTGTTGAGAATTAAAGTAAAGATGAGAAATAAAAATGCATTGCGTACGATTTAACAAATTTATTCGATGTTCACAAACTCACGTCTACCATAATACTGAATCTTTCTTCGCTGTGGCGCGGCTATTTATTCTATTCTAAATACGCATATGGCTGCTTGATTTTTTCACTCTTAATTCTAGTTTTCTGTTCAACTTTGAACAAAGCACTGTGTATTTTTTCAAGAAAAATTATTAAAATTCATATAATAACTTGTTGTCGTAAAGTGACTAATTTTGAACGATATTGGAAATTGAAGATAATCTTTATATAACAATATTTTGTGCATTTTCATAATCCGAAGTCAATCCCAAGCATTAACATCTTAGAAAAAAAAATGATGATGCATTTTGCAAAGTCATCAAAAATGTAAGTTGACCACTCTTTGGACTTAAGAACTTGTAAGTTGACCACCCATGTTTTCTAATGCGGTAACATGCCGATGACATATTCATACTTATCAAATATTCGGAATGGACATCGAAACAAGTTTAAAGTATTTTAAATGCATTTTTGTGGCATTTTTGGCGATTTTTCTTAATATTTGAAATATATCACAATAACATGGAACTGATAGCATTTTTCATGAAAAGTTATCAAAATTGCTTTCATTTTAGCGTTCAAAGCAAATGAAATATATGAAAATTCAAAGAACTTCAAAAAATTTCGTAAATCGGGCATTTGTACTCAACTTACATGCCAGGGGGTGGTCAACTTACACCACAGGCCATAAGTTTGGATACCCCTATGAAACGTTTGTTTCTACGTTTTTTGAACATTTTCACTTGAAATTTAGTATTGGATATGAAAATATATCGAAATTCTGACCGAATGGATGATTTGGAAGATAACATTTGGCCGGCCTATGGCCATTTTTTGGCCTTTTAGCTGTGGGAGCCAAAATCGAAGTCTTAAACGGGCCATCGGATTAAAAAGTTATATACGCCATTGGAAAGGTCTTGAAAAGTAGATGTGATTTTTGGTATTAAACATCAAAATCGGCCGGCGTTTGACCAAGATATGACCGTTTGTAATTTTTGGCCGAAATCTTCAATCAGCCATATCTTGGCCAAAAGCTGGCCGATTTTAATGTTTAGTACCAAAAATGATACGTACTCTCCGAGACCTTTCCAACGACGTATAGCATGTTGAAATTGGACAAGCGGTTTGAAATTTAAAAATTTTGGGCCAAATTCATTCATAGGGGTATCCAAACTTATGGCCTGTGGTGTACATGCCAAAAAAATTTCATCTCAATTTCAGGTCAATTAGAAAATCGACTGAAAAAAATTCATTTGCTATAACAATATGATAATTATCAAATCAAAAACTTTCTATAACGAATATTTAGATTTTTAGATCCTCTTCCCAATGGTATTTAACAATCTACGATGTCTCGATTTTTCGAAAAGTTATGAAAATATCCAGGATGCATGGTCCTTTCCCCTACATATTCCATTTGAAAGTGGATAATGTTAGTTGCATTCTCGATGTTTCTCGATTTGGAAGCAATAATTGTGCTTATTTAGAAAAATAATTGTTTCATTTCGTTTTAATATTTGGACACTTGTTCATTATTTTTTTCTTCTTCCCAAACTGTATAAAATATTCTCGTTGTTTTACTTCAAGTAGCTTTAGCTCACTTGGCGCTTTAAATTTCCGTATTAATACTAAGCGTTCTAGTAAAAATCTACCTTTACAAGCGCCAAGAAAGCAGTTTGATCTACTTAAATTTTAGGTTGAAGTTGGAATCGGAAATTTACTGATTGAAAAATAAAACGGAATGAAAGTTTTGAGTAAGATCACTTTTTGCAGTAGAAAAAATTCTGATATTTGTTCAACAATAATCCGAGAATTGAAAAAAAAAAGTCTAAATGTTCACTGAAGCCTCGAAACTTAAATCAGGCATTCGAATGATTGCTTTCATTTCGTGTGGTTCATGAAATAATTCCCTAGAAAATTCCATCCGCGTTATCGCCTTAGTGAAACGCAATGGCGGCTAGGGGAATTTCTCACGTAAAAACTGTGAAGATTTTCGAAGATGTTTGAAACTGTGAAGATGTGGAAGTTATCGAAAATATGTGGATTTGTATAGATTTTATAAATTTTTTGAGATTTCAAGATGGCGGATTTTGTGAAATCCAAGATGGCGTCGGGTGATCTCGCCTGAACCATACCTCGAGCATGCTTTTGGATCTTTGCCAAAAATGGTTCTGTACTAAGCTGAAAAAACTTAGCTAACAATTTAAAATACATTGCGCCCCGCAAGCCATCTAGATGGCGCCACAAGAAAATTTGGTTCTTATACGAGGTGTATGCTCAAGATATGGCCTGAACTGTCTTGTTTTTAACACTAAATATGCATGGATTTTCTAAATTTGGGCAAAACTACGTAGATTTCAGAAACTGTGGGAGATTTTGAAAGATTCCAAAAATATTTTCGATGAGAAATTCCCCTAGAATGGCGGTGATAGCACTTATTCGTTAGTCACAACCAACGCTCCTATTCACTTTGAATTTGACAACTGATATTGAGCGCAAACACCACCTAGATAATTTAAGGCTAATGACAATACAATCAAGTAAAGTCTCCGTTCTATCAAACGTCATACTGAAGTATAACATACAGACATCACGAATTCGCCATCGGTTCTTTAGATGGCGCTTCGGTCAACCGAGTTCCAACCAAATACATGTATCAGTATACGAAGCATTCCACTGTTGGTCACAACACATTTCTCGTTACTTAAATTTTGACAACAACGGTCCATAATTCGGCTTCAGATTAGTCTGATACACTTGTGACCCTTTTAACTTTGTGCTGATTTCAATTGAAGTCATACACTACGTAAGAAGTTCTTAGCAAATGTTGATTCAAACATTGCAAGCATTGCTCACATTTTGATTGAAAATTAAACCGAAGTAATTTCGGTGAGTTGGAAATCCACACTGGAAAATGCTATACGTTCAATTGCAAAACATAAAACTTACACTGGAACAATCAGACGCCGATCTTCATATGCCTATGAGCGTAGGATAAGACATCCATCAAAATTCTCAAAAACGATTTTTTACCGCACCAAAATCTAGGGGGATTTAACTACGTGAAAACTTGTAAAAAAATGATGTAAACGCGCACGAAATTGTTACATTCACCAGAGAACTTGCATGATTCCACTCAGTTGACAAGTTCCGTATTAAAACAACATGCGCGAACGCGCGCGAGTTCGTGTGCAAACTTGAAGCTGGACGACGCGCACACATCAGTCGTTCCATTTATTATATCTGGATTAACTTTTCCAACACTTTCTCCAGCTCTTTAAAAATATTTCCTTTGTCCATTTTATAATTATATAAATCTTTGAACTTTTGGAAAGGATGTGAAAAATCTTTATACACGTAAACAACCAATTTTTAGTTTGAAACGCGTTTTAGTTGTCAAATAACAACTTGAAAAACGCGCAAAATCATAAACAAACTTGTGTAAACTTGTGACCGTGCGCGTTAGTACGTACAACGAACGCGTCGAACTTCCGCGAATCAAGCAAACTGGCAGAAAACATGCTGAACTCGTAAGAGTTAAATTCCCCTAGACCAAAATGGGATAAATAATCATAAACATTCCAAAAATTCTATCAATATCACAACTAACTTGCTCATCTTCGTTTCTTGAAACAAAATTCTTTTCTTTGCGGTGGTTTTGGTGCAAAAAAAATGAGCTTGAATCAGAAATCTATCAATTGAAAAATTAAACGGAACGAAATTCCAGAGTAAAGACACTATTTTCTGATATTTGTTCACCAATAATCCGGCAATTTGAAAAAAGTCCAAATGTTTACTGGAACACATTCGTTTCGAAACTGAAACAACTGTATTCGTACGAATCTGATTTTGCTTTTGCTTCCCTTTCATATGGTTCATAAAATTATTCTTTTATATTACCATTTCCGTTACTTTAATTTTGTCAACAATGGCTCGCATTTTGGTTTCAGATTAGTCTGGTGATAGAACTTTTCTTTATTCCTCTGCTTGAACTGAAATCATAAATTATATCAAGATTTTTGAATGAAGTAATTTCGGAGAGTTTGAAATAAACTATAGGAGAAGGTGAGGAAAATCCCATTCGCAATTCTAAACCAGCCAACATTCTCATATGAAATTTCACTTGTCAACCTTTTCCATACTCATTCTATTGCGCCGATATTCTGACTATAAACAGTCAAATTAGACGCACTCGTTTATCAATTTAGTTTAACTCAAGAAATAATTGTGATAATTATTGTTAGCATTATTTAGTTCATATTCATTAGCCCATAAGGCTGTAAGAATCAAAACCAAACGATTTCCTGTGATCCAGATTGTGTTTGTAACACTATCAAAGACTTGTTTACCGTAAGAGATTTCTATTCATTGTACATTGAGATCAATATTCATGTGATGTAAACACTTTATTATAGGCTCCTGAGGATGGTTTCTAGTGAAACCGAACCGTTGAGCAAATGGAAGAATAAAAACATGACCGATAGCCGTCCAAAAAACGACTCATTTTGTTTTTTACTCACAATAAAAATAACACACGAACTTCTATATCGATCACCGTGTATAGTGTTTGCAGTTCTGACTACCGCTGACTACCGTATTTGATCGATAAAAAAGGGCAAATATCAAAGATAAAAAGTGCATCATTTCACGAAAACGGCGTAGAGAATATATGCGCACACAAAAAGTTACTAAAAAAAAGTTCTACCACCTGAAATAAAACTCCAATTATACAAATCATTAATATTGCCGGTAATCGATTACATGGACATAATTTACCATAACTACGGCACACATGGTACAATTGGTGATTGTGAGAAACTCGAAAAATTACAAAATATTGCAATAAGATATATTTTAAATGTTAATCGACGAGATCACATCACACCGTATCGTAAAAATTTGAAATTATTAAAACTATATGATCGCCGCACACTACACATATCTAGTTTAATAAATAAGATTCTGAATAACGAAGCGCCTATGTATCTTAATAAACTATTAACAAGAAATAGCAATAATACAAGATCTAACAATAAGTTAATTATACAACAACCAAAAAGTAATTTTCATAAGACTTCATTTTTCATCAGTGCACCTAAATTATGGAATCAAATTCCAAATGAAATACGTGATATCGAAGATAATGAAGACTTTAACTATTTTTATGAGCAATACTACAATAATTTTATCAAGAGAAACTACTTTATCACTTGACATTTCTAATGAAATCAAAATCTATTTACTCAAAAAATGTATTTCATAAAATGATTTGCCTCTGAGGCAGCATGTATTTGATTGTTATCTTATACCGAATAATAATAATAATAGTTCAGCATTCCGATTGTTATGTTCATATATTGAAAGTTCGTGTTGTGCCAAACAAAATCCGAATCGAATTTGTGTTAGATTCGCTTCGTATGTACCGTATGTTAAATGATGTATATAAGTCACAGAATATACAATGGTTTCGTATAGTAAGGCATAAGATTCGTAGATGTTGTGTGACGCTGAGATTTTCATTTTTTGCAGTCGCACCATATAATATTCTGAAATGGGCGAATTACAAATAAAACACATATTTGACTTTTTTGTTTGTTTGTTGAGCGAGTTTCAGAATTTCCGTGTTCCGTGATAAGGTTTGCCACTTTCATTTTGTTATACAATAGCAAACTAAGCGTAATTCTGTCCTTTTCCAAGATTCGAAGAGCGAAGAATTACCTTGATTTTACATATGCTGTTGCTTAATGCAGCATTCTCATTTCATAAACATTCGGATCATCAGACTAGACGTCATCACTTTGACTCTTTGACAAATTACTTCGAATAACACCAATTTATGGGGCAGTGACTTATTGCTGAGTCTATTTCTAATTCCTATGAAATATTCATTTCTGTCGGTGAGTTGCACCTCACCGATCTCCAAATTCCGAACACAATTACTTGTATAAATTTGAATTCATAAAATATTGATAAGTTATCGCCCCATCAATAGGTGTTAATTGTGGTAATTTGTCAAAGTGTCTAGTCTTGAATTGCTTTCGACGTAACAATTAATAAAAAAAAAATCAAACACGAGTGTACGAGTTTTTCTTTCAACCCAATGAAATTTGGTATTTAAGGGAATGTCACCATAAATCTAGTTCATTCAAGTTCCACAGTTGGCAATCAAAGAAAGTAGTGAAAAATCTAATAGAGAACGTATAGTTAAAAGTGAGAGAAAAACGCTCAAATCAATCAATTTCTGAACATTCAACCCAAATTCAATTCATTCAAATCGAATTAAACAAACACCAATCATTTTCATCCTAATTTCGCGTTGTTTCGTGAAAAAGAGTCTTGCAAATAATGTCATTCGAATTATTAAAATATTATTTTCGCTTAATGAGCCTAACACCACTCTCCAGTCGTTCTGACTTGATATGGAATGTCATTTTCACCGGAGATTTCGTGATATCCTTTCTGTCGACGCTTTGGTTTATTGTATTTGTGGGAAAATCATTGAATGAATATTCGCAGAGTTTTCATTATATGATGTGCTCTCTGTTGTCGTTGTCCTGGTATTTGACTTACTGCTGGCAAGCAAACAAATACGCTCGATTATTCAAAAGACTAGATGAAATTATCGAAACGAGTAAGTGGTTCAAAATTGCTACAGTTCTCCCAGTGTAATTGATTGGACCCATTTATTTTCTAACGAATAGGAAGCGAAAAACAAGCGTATATAAAGACGATCAATAAAATCGAGAAGCTAACACGTTTAGTTCATCTTTTGATGATGAAGATAACCGTGCCTTTCATTGTCCTATCGCCAACGATTGTTTCCATTGTAAAATACCTTTCGACGGGTCACATCAAGGAATCACTACAACAAATTTATCCAGCAACGTAATCAAGTTTAAATCATATATGTTCAGACTCTGATTGCCATTAACTTTGTTTTACTAACAATTCAAAGGTTTCTATTCGACTGGAAAACTCCAATCGGATATTTGTTGTGTGGTGTCATTCAAGCGATGTTAATATTTGGAACGGCAGAACTGTTCATTTGTACACTTCTTCTAACCATTGGATTCTGCTCATTTATAACCGATTTCATTTCGGACATTGATGAAAATCTGCATCAGTTCAATGATCATTTTCTCAGGGCTGATAATCCGAGGCGGATCGATATGAAATCAAAACTATTGGCCATAATAAGATTTCATTCGGAGGCAAAAGAGTTGCGTTAATCAATAGTTGTCATAAAATCAATAAATTCACTTTTGTCTCTTTGTGTTTCCAAGGTTTGCAAATCGATTTTCGAATACCAACAGCGGCATTATTTTCGTGTATCTTCTTTTTGCAATTGTGGCATTTAGCAACGCAATCCTGCAGATCAGCATATTACCGGAAATAAAATCGTTTTCAGACCATTACACCGAAGCTGAAAGTATTGTGACAATATTGCAAATTGGCGCTCCAGCACCAGTCAATGTGTTTTGGTTGTATTTAATTTGCAACTATGGACATCAAGTCAATGCACGCTTCAGTAACATTGCAAACGAATTATATCAGCTGGACTGGTGTATGCTGCCATCGGACATGCAAAAGATGTGGCCAATGATGATTATTCTTGCTCAAAACAATTTTTATCTTCGTGGACTTGGACGTACATACTGCACACGAACGCTTTTTAAAAAGGTTTCGAAGAAGACATTTTTTAAATTTGTGTTGTTGATTCGTGTTTTTAGCTTTCATCCTCATTTTCAACATAATACCTTTTTCCTTTTCCAGATTATCAAAACTACTTTCTCTTATTTCACGATGTTGCGCAAATTTGACCTTTAACTTTGCGTTTTTAATATGAAATATTGAATAGGGATCAAAACCCATTCATTTATTCGAATAATATATGCGAGGGAGAAACCACTATTATGAATATATTCATAAACACCATGTTAATTTGCAAAATAGTTGGCATTTGTGCCTTTTGTACAAGTATTCGCACTACCACGAAAGTATCCGCGCAACGTTGCCGTATAGAATGTATGGAGACAGCGATAGACACATTGAAATGAATCTTTGTCTATTAACACTTTGAACAGTTAGCACATTCACATGCATTCATAGCCATCACACTATCATCGATATCGGCGATAGCTTATCGCGAATGTCGGTATCTAAAATACATGGAAAATGTTTCGTGCATTCGCACAAAAGTGACAGTATTCGCAGAAAGTTGGGCCCTCCAAAATATACGACTTATAATTCACTCTTTCTATGTTAACATGATGTTAAAGTAGTGAACAGCCGATTGTTTTTCCGCTGGATTTGCTCGATTTTAGCATCAATAAGCGTCGATGCTGACGAATTAAATTGAGCTGAATTTGAATTGAACGTATAAATGTTTACTGGCACATCTATTGTAAATTGCATCCAATTTTCACCAAATTTTTTAACATTATACAACAATGATATGAATAAAGTGTTTAGATTTTATCAAAACACCCATTTTTATTTTCACTCAAACGTTTTTTCGAATACAAAAAAAAAATTTCTTCTATAGAATTGAAAATAATCACCGAAAATGATTCATAAAAGACAGTAATTCAATCTATGGTCGGTATCTAAAACAATTCTGTATATTTCATTACGACATAAACATTTTTAGCAAAGAATCTCAAACACCATTATGACGTCTAAGAAACGCAACCACACTTGAATGTCCTGAAATTGAGAAAATAAAATAATTGTGACAAAATAATTTTTCGAAGAAAAAAAAGCTCTCAAAAATCTTGATTCATAATCGGAATATTGAAGTAAACACAATGAATTTTCGCTCTTTATGCCGAGCTTATTGAGAAGAGAGGAGACAAGAAACTCGGCGAAAAGAGTGCATATAGAATTATTCTAATAGTAAAGTATCCGAGTTTATAGGCATTATGCTTGGTCCTACCTCGACTAGTGGCATAAAAGAGTGGCTTGCGTCCGTACATATCATTTGCATTAATATCGGCACCATTTTCAATGAGGATTTCGGCAGCGTTACCATGGCCTAAGTAGAAAAGAAACGACTTTAAATGACATAGCAAAGGATCGAGTAAACTTTTAAGCATTACCATTTTCTGCAGCAAAATGAAGAGGGGTAAAACCAATATCGTTCTTTCGATTGATATTTGTGTCTTTTTCAATGAGGATTTTCATGATATTCACACGACCTGACAGTATTTAACCAGATTTTTTTTTGGTAAAATTTGTGAAAAAAAATCATTTTTAAAAAGCTCAAACCTTTGGATGCAGCTAAATGCAACGGCGTCTGCCAGAGATCATCCAAACGGTTAACATCGGCATCATTTTCAATAAGAATCTTAGCGATATTCTCATAGCCTGAAACGATCATGCATGTCAACATCTTTTGTATGGATTAGTGTCTAAGGAGCATGGTTTATTTTCTATTTTAGCCGATTTCTTTGAGTTTTCTTTTTTGGTGCATTTACAAATGGTGAAATCACTCTTGATTACCTTTATTGACGGCATAATGAAGAGGAGTCAGCTTGGTTTGGAAAATCTTTGAGCTTTCTGATGGATGTAAGAAAGACTTTATTTGAATTTGTCACAATATTCCGTCAAGTTGTTTGCATACAACGAGCGTCACATGGTGACGATTCCATCTATACTATTGTTTGATTCTCACCTGGTTTTGAGTGATTAACATTAGCTCCGTTTTCAACCAATATTTGCACGATTTTTTCATAGCCTTTGATTGAAGAACAAAAATGAAGTGAAATAAAGAAAATGGAATTTGAGTTCATTCGACCGACCTTTACAAATAGCAGCAATCAGAGGCGTTTTTCCGTCTTTGTCCTCTTTGTTGATGTTGGCCCCATTCTCGATGAGAATTTGTACGATTTTCTCAGAGCCTGACAAAATTGAATCGTTTAGTATATGACTCCGATCGATATTATTTCTTCAAATTAAATGTAAAATGCGTTGAAATTACCGAAACATACAGCTGAATAAAGAGGTGTTTTATGGTATTTATTCTTGAAATTAACATCGGCACCGTATTTGCGAAGGAATTTTGCGGCTTTTTCACGATCTAAAGGAGGAAAAGGGCTTACAATGAAAATTATACGGTTAGCTTCTTTCCTTTACTACATACCCACAACGAAGAATCGATCTTCCGAGTAAATCTTCTCAAAGTCTTTGAAATAGGCAAAACGATGAGCGTCCAAGAAATGCAACAACTATTTTAAATACGTGGGAAACGATTGCAACACTTGATTATTCTATACGAACTGCGAATGATTCTTTCATTTCGAAAAGAGATTAACTTATATTCATTCCTTTGATAATAATAATCAAACAAACCTGATTTAATACAAACTTTTCGTTGTCAGTCAGCTTATTGATGGATCGTCCCATTTTCTTTCATTCAATAACAATCACAAAACGCAACGCAATTGAGAAGAAAAAATTATGATTTTGAAGAACTTCTTTGAAGAAATAGTTCAAGTGAATGAATCTGTTGCTTTTACGTTCAGGAAATAGATACTAACGTTGATATTGATTTCGACACCTTGAAAAATCGTGCATGCGATACCGACGAAAATGGGTGATTAAACTTCGTATATCAGTATCAATACCAATGCAGCTCACGAATTGTATCGCTGTATCGATCCACTGCGATAATTATCAGTGCGATAGTTTTGCACAAGTAGCTAGTAAATTAGAGAATCGATGATTACCTGATAAAATTATTTAATTGCACTGACGATTGGATCATAATCAATTTTGTTTCCGATTTCATCGCCAAATATCATCACCGTATATAATAAATTGGATAGGTTCGGAATTCCATTCAGAATAATGCAAGGGAGAATTTCGAAACAATTGGCTGCAAATGCGTGCAAATATAGCAGGATACGTTTAAATGAAACAGACTGGGAAATTCATTTTTAAAATGACACTACGGCAGAGCAAATTAAACGGTTCTGCTTTCCCATTTGAACGATGTCGTGTCATTAATTCATTTTTAATAAACACGCGATTCGACATCTCTTGCGGCTTTTCAGTTGTGTTTGATGTCAGGCGTTGGATAACAACAATTACATGGACAAAAATTACTCAATGAAGCAGCGGACTTGTCGGCACACTCGTGGATTTAGCATTTCACTTGCTTTGGCGATTCGTGAGTTGCCGAAGCATCATATATGCAGTGCACTCGATATTTAACGTGAAAACCTATATTCGGTACATCGAAGTTGGCCGAGGTATGATTTCGTTTGCGCGTAGCGCGTAAGCAATTCACTTGCGATATAA